TGGAAAAAAAAAATAGATTTTGCTTTATTTTTTAATTCTATTTATTATTTTCTAATTTACAAAAGGCGTTTGTAAATTAAAAATTGGATAGATTTTGATTTATTTTTTTTATTTTTTTAATTGCTTTTAATTTACAAAAGGCATTTGTAAATTAAAAAATAAATCGAGTTTGATTTATTTTTTTCTATTTTATTTATTTTGTTTAATTTATTTAATTTTTTAAATAGCCGGATGCCACTGAGTCACTCTATTGACTATAATTGTGTTTTTATTTACAAAAGGTTTTTGTAAATTGAAACTTTAAATAATTTTTTTTTTTTAATTTACAAAAGGCTTTTGTAAATTAAAAAATAAATCAATTTTGCTTTATTTTTTTGATGTAATTTACTTTGTTTTAATTTATTGAATTTTTTAAATAGCCGGATGCCACTGAGTCACTCTATTAACTATAATTGTTTTTTATTTACAAAAGGTTTTTGTAATTTAAATGTTTAATAGATGTTGATTTATTGTTTGTATTTTTTGAATTTTTTTAATTTACAAAAGGCATTTGTAAATAAAAAATAGATCGATTTTGATCTATTTTTTTGATTTTATCTATTTCTTTTAATTTATTATTTTTTTTAATAGCCGGATGCCACTGAGTCACTCTATTTAATGGAATTGTATTGTTTTTGTTTATTTACAAAAGGCATTTGTAAATTTAAAGAAATGAATTGATTTTGACTTTTTTTTACAAATTATCTATTTTTACTTTACAAAAGGCTTTTGTACAGAAAAAATATTGTTTTTCAAACTTTTTAAATAGCCGCAGGCCACTGAGTCACTCTATTAAATAGAATTGTAATAAAATTCTATTAAGAAATAAAAATACCAAAGGCATTTGTAAATTTGATCAATTTATATAGGTAAAAAAATAGATAGTTTTTATTTATTTATTTTTTTAATAGTAGCCGGAGGCCACTGAGTCACTCTATTAAATAGAATTGAATTTAGTGTTTTTACTTTGCAAAAAGCATTTGTAAATTATATAGTGTAAACAAAAATCAGTTTATCAAATGGAATTGTATTATTGTTTTGTACTTTTTAAAATATTTTTATGAAAAAAGGGTTTATGTCCAATATAGCTCTATTACTGTATAAGTGCAGAAATCAGTAGTTTCCACAAGACCCTCGATCAAATAGATGTTGCCTGACGCAGTTGTGGGGGAGTTCGGGCCAAACACAACAGTTAAACATGCGATTTGAATGCGTTTCTATGGATCACATGAATGATTGGAAGGATCGGGGCCTCTACTGGTGTTGAAACACGGAAGAAGATGTGATCCTGTAATCCTATTGAGCGAGTCCGATATTCTCTCCATTTTCAGATATGTTAGTAGGGGAAGACCAAGGGGGGATGTTCACCTGACCACCCTTCCCCCATCTCCCCCCACACCATCTTTTCCATCATCCCCACTCCCCACCCATCCTATGCTTCCTACTCTCAATATGTCTTCTCCACTTACATTTTCTCACCTTGCACGCACATACCTCACACCACATCTCAATCAAACTATATTCCCGATCATATTAGAAAAACTCCTCTCTCCAAGCTCTATCAATCTCCTTCTTCTTCTCAACATTCCTCCCCACCCACCTTTTCCATCTGTCTAAGCACACATTACAAGTCGCATTCTTTTCATTAAACATTCCCAATTCCTTATTACATCCACACTGTCCACACCTTCTCCTCTCCACTTCCTCACCTCCACCCTGAGCATTCTCAATATGCGTATTTGTTTTCTTATGCTTCCCCCATCCACTTTTCCTCACATTGCACTCACACACCTGACAATACACATTCTCAAACTTATCACCTTCATCTCCTTGGTACCTATTGCTACTATCCCTTTAAGTATTGGTCAGGTGAACATCCCCCATTGGTCTCTCATAGAAGAAATTAGAATAGTAAATATCTAGTTTATAGCATTATATAAATATTTATCTGATCAACTCTTCTGGGATTATGTATAATTCCTTCTGATTGAACAATGTATAGTTTTCAAGTTTTCAGGCCATGTTTCCTTCCTATTGCTAGGTGCCCTTTGTGCTGTTTCCCTATGCCTATTCCCTTCCATTTGTACGCAGTTCTTTTTACATAATGGTTTAGGTGTCCAAGTTTTTATATTTGTCCAAAGTCTGGTGCGTTTTCTGTATGCCATTCCATCTTTACAATAATCAACATCAAAAAACGAAGTTTTTCATAAACTCTTGCTCCTTCAAAAGTCCGGTCTGGGGGGTTTTCAACGAAAACATTTGGATCAAAATAGTTTATTATGTCAATAGCTTTCTTCACTGTTTCATTTGCTTCATCAATTTTTCTAGTGCC